AGTGCTGCCCTCGGCCCTTTAGGCTGCACCTGAGAGACCCTCCGCAGGCTCCGCTGGCCAGCCGGCTGTGCCCACATTCTCCTGCCCCCCAGGCCCACCCACCCTCACTCTCCCCTCGGTCCCACAGGGTCCCTTCAGCACGCTTTGCGGCACGACTTGCAGTTATTTTCCACCTTCCCTGTCTGTCTCCCATCTGCACAGAAGCCCCACCTGCACAGGCGATCCCCCTGCCCTGTTCACAACGGGCCGTGCCAAGCCCAGGACCTCAGCGGTGGGCGCTGTCAATGCCTGCTGAGTAAGCAAACCCTCCAGGAGAGAACGCTCCAAGCTCGCCCTCCAAGCGCTGCCAGGGCGCTCTGCTCTGCGGACGTCTGAGAGAACGGTGGGGATCCATTTCCTATGCACGGCTGAAACCACAGGCCTGCCTTTATAACTTCCCACCGGTCTGTGGGGGAAGTAAAGGCAGACTTCAACTTCTCTTTATTTAAAAGCACTTAGAGCGTACAGCGAGAAGCTTCCTCTGCACCTGCGTGCCCACCTGCCCGGTGCCCATCACCCTGCCAAGCAGGTAACCCCGTTACTAGTTCCTGGTACACCTTTCCCGGGAATTTGCATGCACTTCCTCTCTCTCGCTCAGAAAGACAATGGACATTTCCCTAGCTTTGCTTCTGTCACTCTGCCTAACGAGTCCACGCCACTCCCACCTGGCCGGCCTCCTGAGGGGCCCTCCATCGCTGTCCGCCTGCACTGTCACCAGCGAGGCAGGGGCAGTCCCGCACCCGTGGGGTCTCACACACGGACAAATATTCTTGCAGGTTCCATTCCCAGACCTGGGATGGCTGGGCCAAAGGACTGACACACCTGCCACTTTAAAAGCCGCTGCCCAATGCCCCTTCATTGACGGGGCTCACCCAGAGAACCTGGGCTCTACCTCCTCCTGCCCCAGGCCAGGGCCAGGGGCTGGGCAGCGCTGCCTGCAGGGCGGGCCCCTCCCGGGGGGAGGCAGCCGTGGGTCGTGGGTCGTGGGTCGGAGCCAGCAGGACCCAGGCTGGGACCCAGGCTGCGCTGCCTCCTCAAAAGCTGGAACTGATTTGCACTCCCGGGGCCAGCAGATGCTTCCAGGCTGGGGGCTATCGCTTGCCTGACAGGTGAAACCCGGCCCCCAACCTCGTGGTAATTTATTCTATCGAGTGAGGCTGAGCATCTTCTTCTTTTTTTTTTTTTTTTTTAAATCAATCTTTATTGTTCATATTATTACAAAGGTTCCTCGTTTCTTCCCCCCTCCACCAGGTTCCCACCCCACCCTCTGCCCCCTCATCCTCATCCATTGGTGCACAGTTTATGTTCAGTCTCTTCCTCCCTCCCTTTCCCCGATAGTAAATCCCTTTTCAGATAGCAAATCTGTTACTTAGCATTTTCTCATATCAATAATACCTCCACATGCCCAATGATACACTTCACACAAAAGACATTTCCAAATAGGACAACCAGCCTCATCCAGGCCCCACCCAAGGCACTCACAGATCAACACCCCAGCACTATACTAACTCAACACATCCAGATATAAGCCTTCATCACTTGATTCAGCAGACTCTCAAGTTCCCGCAAAAGTTTCCAGCCATGTCTGAGAGGCAGCCGTGGGGCAGGGGCAGGTGAGGAGCGAGCTGTTTCGGGCCAGGCTGCTCCGGGCCTGGCCTCTGTTCTGAGCATCTTCTCAGTGAGGCACAGACTTACTCCTCATCTACAGACTGCGTGGGGCGGGCGGAGGGGGGACTGAGGGCAAAGCCAGCTAAGTTCTTCACCTCCTTGGCCACCAATGGAACATTCAGGAACGTCCATCAGACAGATTCCCGGCGGAGCATCGTGATGCTGGCAACGAGCCCGAGTGGCCAGTCACCTGCCGGGGAGGGGCACAGCTCCAGGGCCGTTTTAGGAAAACCGAAGGGCACCACGCCCCGGAGGAGCGGCCATACCTTAACTGTAAGCAACAGTGTGTTCCTATAATCTCGTCCCCCCGCTTCCTCCCTGGCACTGCCTCCGCCATCCATGCCACCCTCCCCCTCCTATCGCACTCCCCAAGAACAAATAATAACGCGCCGGACCAAACCTACATTACGAACACGCATCTAGGAGTCATTTTTAAACAGTCTTTTAGCCCCACAGCACAGCAGCAGAGCGAGCTTTCAGGTTATCTGCCGCCCCTGCTGTAGCTGCCGGAATAGATTATTTGCCCGGTCTGTAAACACCCTGGGACCGACTTCCCTAAACAGCGCCGTACTGTGACTCTGAAATGCACCCCAAAAAGTGGTGCTCCACAGGGCTGGCAATGACTGTACGGCCTTTCTGAAGGCTGTACTTTATTTCTTAAAACATGGATTTTAAAGCAAAGCATTTTTTAGAGATATAAATGGTAGTAATAACTAAAGAAATGGAAAGAAGTGTGTTAATGTCAAACCCTCCAGTAATCAAGAGTTATATCTGAGCACAACTAATCCATACAATAATCACTTATTCAAAAACCTACTTATCCCAAGACTATCCCAAACCTATCTTTAAGTGTCTCCCATAATGCAAGGAAGAAAGAGGCCAATACTCCGTACCGGTAGAGGTTAGGGACTGTTTTCCAGGCCCTAGCATGCTGCCTGCCATCTTACTAGACAATTATAAGTTACCTGTTCGTTCTGGACTGTTCCGTGAGGTGGATTAAATCACACATTTAAATAATCAGACCCTTTTCTATTGCAGGGAACATTTTTTATAAGTTCTTTCGTTCAAATTTCAAAGTAATACACATCCTTCAGAAGCTTGTATACAAAAATTAAGTAAATAAAACAAAGTATCACCATTTTTACACTGTTCAGACCATAACATATAAAACTGCTTTATTTTTTTAAATACACATTTTATTGATTTTTTATAGAGAGGAAGAGAGAGGGATAGTTAGCTATATCGATGAGAGAGAAACATCGATCAGCTTCCTCCTGCACACCTCCCACTGGGGATGTGCCCGCAACCAAGGCACATGCCCTTGACGGGATTCGAACCTGGGACCCTTGAGTCCGCAGGCCGAAGCTCTATCCACTGAGCCAAACCGGTTAGGGCAAACTGCTTTATTTTTTAATGGTTGTAAAATAATTCATCCAATAAACGTCCCACAATCTACCTCACCGTCTCCTACTGGCAATGCTGCTTCCAATTTTCTGCTTTTGGCGCGCAATGCACATCTCCACACAGGAAGTACTTCTTCTGAATTCCAAGATTGTATTCCCAGAGGAGATACGAACGCCCAGACAGTCTTCAGGCTTTTGATACTGAACGCCACCCTTTGTTACAGGACTAAGGCCGATAAACTTCTGGGCCCACCGGCTCACTTTTCTCCATCTTTAAACCTCCTTTTCCTTCCAAGCCTCTGTCTTCCTTGACTCACTCAGAGCCAGAAAGATCTCCGAACAGAACTGCCGGCAGGGAACAGAGTCTGCTTAGTATAACGTGGTCAGAGCTAGCAACCAAGGCCGGGCCAGGTGGGCACGAGCAGTATCAAGGGGTCGCTTTGTAAAGTATGGGCCTGTCTCACCTCCGTGCTGTACACCTGACACGAACACACAATGCTAAACACCAACCAGAATTGGAAAATAAAAACGGAGAGGTACATCACATCATGTTTTAAGCTTGGGAGCCAGTGACATGTTTTTATTCTGGAATCCGGATTCCCAGGAGGCGGGGCCACCACCCAGGTCACACACACACTCCTCAGCCTTTCCCAGCCAAGGCTGACTGAGGACTGGCCGCAGGCCCTGAGACTGAGCACATTACACAAACAAAACTTCATACGTTTTTAAAAAAGAAAAGAAAAAAAAATTAAAAAAGTGTTTGTCCAACATCACAAAACTTTTTTAAAATCTATAAACAGCACTAAAAGTCACCCTGACACACACACACACACACACACACACACCAAAGGCACCAGCCGGCGGGTTGCTTGGCCTCCCAGGTCCATCGCTTCCCTCCCGGTGTGTCCCCTCCTCGGCGGGGCCGCGGGGCCTGCTCGCCGCCCCGGGGGCAGCCGGGCGGGAGGGCTCCGTCCCGGCGCTCCGGCCCCCAGCCCGCCCCCGCGGCCCCGCCGCCCTCCTCCCCGCGGGCCGCGTGCGCCGGGCCCGGCCCCGGGAGCGCAGGGGCCCGGCCGCCGGACCCACCGCGCACGGGCCGGGCGGTGACGCGCCGGGGCTGGGCCTGTAATTAGGGTTTGTCCGAACGCCCCCTGCCCACAGGGCGCTGGGGCCGGCCTGCCCGCGGGAGGAGGGCCTCCCCGTGGGGTCCTCCGGCAACGTGCGGGGGACCCCTGTGCTCCCCAAACAAGGACCACCCACCCGGCACCGTGGCCTCTGAGGCGAAGCTCGCCTCGGGACACCCCGTCCTCCGTGTCCCCCCGGGACGCACAGCGAACGCGGAGGAGACGGGGCGCCGGCGGGGGGGGTCCCCGCTCCGGACTCGGGCTCCGCCAACTCGGCCGCGGGTCCGAGGAAGCGCCCGCCCGCCCGCCCGCCGCCTCGGACCTCCCGCCCCGGCGACTGTCAGGGCTCCCAGCCCCGTCCCGCGCCCGCCCGCCGGCACCCCGAGGTCCCCCCAAACTTTCCCGGCCCCCACGCGGGATCGGGCTCAGGGCGCCCGGCGGCGGCTCCGAGGGCGTGGACGCCCTTGTGACAGGCGGCGGCGAGGTCGCCCCCGAGGCGCCCGGCCCGCGGAGAGGGACCCCGAGCCCGGCCCCCGACCCCGGCTGCTCCCGCCGGACCGCGCCCGGCCCTCCCGGAGCCCGGACCCTCCTCCGCTCGTCGCCGGGCCCGGAGCGCCGCGGGCCCGGGCGGTCGCCAGCCCGCACCCGCGCTGCCGGCACGGACCCCGTCCCCCCCGGCGCTCCGGGGCCCGCGACCCCCGACCTCGGACCCGCGCGCCCGCGAGCCCCACCCAGGCCTCCGGTCAGCCGGCCACGCCTCCGGACTCACCGCCGCCCTCGCCGCCGCCGCCGCCTTCGTCCATCTTGAGGCCGCTCCCGCTGCCCGCGAGCCCGGGGCCGGCGCGGAGGGGCGGCGGGCGGGGGCGCCGCGGGGGCGGGCGGGCGGCCGGGCTCCAGCTGCGCGCGGCCGGGTCGCGGCCGGACTCCTCCCGCCGGGCGGGGCGCTCGCGCTGGGCGCCGCCGTCACGTGACGCGCAGGCCCCGCCCCTCGGGCGCGGTGGGCGGGGCCTCGCCGCGCGGCCACGCCCTGCCCTCCCGGTCCCGGCGGGCGCCGCGGAGACGCGCCCCCTGAAGGCCAGCGCGTGGGCACCTGCCCGGCCCGCGCCCGGGAGCGGCCTGGGGCCGGCCGCGGGGGCCGGACACGGGGCGCCCACGCTGCCCCACGCGGCGGCCTGGGGTCCTCCTCGCACGTGCGCTCCGGAGGAAAGGTCCAGGCGCGCGCGTCCTCCAAAGTCAGGCCTTCCTCCTGGGGCTCCGATTTGTTTTCGGGGCCATCCCAGCCCCGCAGCCCTCGGAGAGATGGATGATGGAGGCGCTGCTCTGCGGCGAGGAGCGCGCCTTCAGATGGACACGGGGAAAGGCCCTCTAACGAGCGGCATCACGGGGCCCCCGCCCGGCGCCCGAGGCGGGGCACCCCGGCTCCGCAGGCGCCGGCCTGTGTGGCCTCAGATGCCCTCGCAGCTTCCCTCCCGGCTCCCTTGGGAAGCTGCCAGCTGCCCGGATTCTGGTGCAGAAGGAGCTCTGAGTTCAGTGGGCGCAGGCCTCCCGGACAGAAGGCCTCGGCTCACCCCTGCTCCCCGTCTGCCCTGAACCCCCTGTCTCCCCGCACAGCCCGCTTCCGGCAGCTCCCGCCTGCCCAGCCTTTTTGTTCTCTCTGCTTGAACTAAATTGCATTAAAGAAAAGAAAACACTGTAATGGAGGAGCTAATTCATCTCTAACATAATTTTCCAGAAACTGTTTCGTATTTACCAGTGGCCCAGGGAGTGGGAGGATCCTGCTGTCCTTCATCAAAGCGGACAGTTTTCACCTTTTTGTCCCCGGGGGTTGTGGGATGATTCCCAAGAAGCCAGTGTCCTGATAATCCCAAGAATTAAAACTGCCCAGCTTCTGAACACACACACACACACCCTACACACACACACACACACACACACACACACACACACACATTTCGCGTGCAGATAAGATGTTTGGCAGCTTATGTGACAAGCAGGCAACTGAAAATGGGTCTGAGCGTGGGGAGATGGAGGGTTGAGATGTGGCTCCCTGGTCTGATTCCGTCAGATTGGTAGTCTTGGAGATAGCGCTGTGCTTACTGAGAAAAACGATAGCATGTGTGGACCTCGTGGCAGCTTCGTGTATCGGAAACAGCGCTCTCGCCAACTGACAGCCCCGGCCAGGGCAGAACTGGATGCTGTGAGACTGGAGCTTCGATACTGTGGATTATAAATGCTTTTCAATGTTGGTTCCTAATTCTTTAGGATGTGATCCATTGGTGCCTCTCTCAGAGTTTGAATCTGAAAATTGCTTAGTTTCCATCAGAAGAAAGCACAGCCCAGTGCTTTGTAGACAGAATGTGGTATTATCCCCACAGCTAGCCCTGAGCTTCCATTTTGGCAAAACCTGCAAACATGTTGGGAGAACAGGGCATTCAGTGCCATGTCTGCACTCAAATGGAGAAATGGAAGACCTCAAAACCTTCACTACTCCAGTGAATTAATATCTAATGGAAAAGTCACCTCATCGGCTCACAGGCAGGTTGCCCTCACATACAGGAACATCAAATCCTAGCTACCGCCCTAACCAGTGTGGCTCAGTGGATAGAGCATTGGCCTGTGGACTCAAGGGTCCCAGGTTCAATTACGGTCAAGGGCATGTACCTTGGCTGAGGGTGCATTCCCAGTAGGGGGTGTGCAGGAGGCAGCTGACTGATGTCTCTCTCTCTCATCAACGCTTCTAACTCTCCCTCTCCCTTCCTCTCTGTAAAAAATCAATAAAATGTTTTTGTTTTGTTTTTTTTTAATCCTAGCTATCCACCAAGGTAGGCACTCACTTTATACCCAGCTATGAGTGGTTGACTCAGAGGTTGAAAGCTTTATAAGTACATTGTTTTAGGAAAACAACTCATGCAGGAGACATCACCCCAAGATAACAGGTATTAAATACATCCTGGTTACAGCCTGGCCTTTGTGACTCAGTGGTTGATCATGGACCCATGAGCCAGGAGGTCACAGTTGGACTCCCGGTCAGGGCACAGGCCTGGGTTTCGGGCTTGATCCACGGTGTGGGGCCTGCAGGAGGCAGCCGAACCATTATTCTCTCCCCTCATTGATGTTTCTCTCTCTCCCCCTCTCGTTTTCTCTCTGACATCAATAAAAATATTTGTTTAAAGAAAAAGAGAACCACCTGCCGAACTGGTTGGCTGGGGAGAGGCCGCCCCAGCTGCTCCCGGACCCTGCACAGACCGGGTCCCGTCTCCTGGGCCGCCGGTCAGGAAACGCACCGGCTGCAGTGGCCGCTGGCGGACGGAGCCTTGACGAATCCCTCACATCTGCTCGGGGGTCTGGTCTGGCCCGGGGAAGGCGCCCACGGCCATGAAAGGAGAGCAATGTGTTCTGAAATCTAATTTCCTCTCGGACAGAACACATCTCACTGGGATGGAGATGATCCTGTGCAGACCATCGCTCTCCGCCCGGCCGGTCCAAGTGTCAGGTCCCATACGCATTACATTTTCAAAAGTCCAGACGCGGCGTCCTCCCAGCGCCCGTCTCCGGCCCAGGTGTTCGATGCCCCCCCCCCCCCCCCCCCCCCCGGCTCCGCTCTGCGCCCTCCTCCCCTACAGTTGACAGCAGGCCTCTGCCTCACGTGACCCAGGGCAGCTCCACTGCTTTTAGATTCATTGGTGACTCTGAGGGCTTTTGCAAGAACAAAAGCGGCCACGTTCCTCATTGGTGGCAAACGCGGGAAAAGTGACTTGGCCGCCAGGCCAGGCTCTTCGCCTTCGGGAGAAAAGCATTGCACCCAGGCGAAGCGGCCTCCTTATTAAGAGTTCCTTCATACAAGCAGTGCTCCAAAGCTGGGTGGTTGTTTTTTTTACCTGGTTCTTCGTTTGTGTAGCAGGTCCCTGGCCTACTAAACACACACGTATTTCCTTTTTCCTTTTGTCCCACTGAGAAACGTCCCCTTCCTATGTGCAGCTTAAGCCACCAGGCCAATCCGTCACGGGGCAGAGCGTCCTCTCGGACGGACAATTAAAAAGGAAAAAGGGTGAAAGTGATGAACAGGAGGACACAGAACATCTGTCTGCGATCACGGGCCGCTGACCGGCGTGCTCCAGCCAGCCGCCGGGTGGCCGCGCAGCATCCATCTCGGAGCTGCGGGGCCGGCAGTCCCACTGTGTCCGATAAATGACAGCGAGAGCCAGCCACGAGGTCAGGGCGGCTCTGTCTGTGTCGGAGGCCACAGAGCCCCCCGGGAGGCCGTGAGGTCCCCGCCCTGACCATCCCAGCCCGCACGCCTCTGCTGGCTGATGGTGCAGGCACCTCCCTGTCCGGACTGGGTGGCCCGGGCAAGTGGCCTCACCACTCTGTGCCCTCGTGTCCGCAGAAGGGGGGTGGGCGCCTGGACCTCCCCCTCCTCCAGCTGAAAGGGGTGCCCAGGCCCCTCCCTCTCACCGGAGGGGTCAGGGTCAGAGAAGGCAGGGAAGGTGGACTCATGGCAGCCAGGCAGGCGGGTCCTCTCCCCCCCCCCCCCCGTGGCTGCTGCAGGAGGTGGTCCAGAGAGGGCTCTGAGCCCAAGGAGAGGCAAGGCCACCTGCCCCTGTGGTCCCCGCGGAGGCCATGTGGGGGGCAATAAGGAAGAACTCAGCCCCTCCCAGCCAGGAGGGATCAGCAGAGGCCGGATGAGGGGGCGTGGGGGCTGAACTTTGCTCTCTTCTCAGCAATATGGAGGGGCCCCTCCCCCAACCAGATGTCCACAGGGGCCCGGGGAGAACCCAGACTTCCACTCCACCTGCCTGGGACGAGGGCAGTCCTTTCCTGGGCTCCCCTGGGAGGTCTGACCTGGTCTCTGAAGGTCCCTGCCTCCTCGGGGGGGGCCTCCCCACACTGCCCCGGGGAGCCTAAGGGGGTGGCGCTGCCTGGGAAGGGGCACAGGGAGCCGCAAACGTTTTAACCTCGCGAAAAAGACCCCACAACCTGTGGTGGCTCTTAAAGGGGAAGGAGGGGACAGGGTGGCCCGGCTTCGGCTCTGCTTCTGCGAGTCAGGTTTTGGGGGTCACTGCTGTCACTTGGGGTTTTGTTTACACATTGAGGTGAATAGCCCCACAGATTCAGGCCCACCCGGACCCTCCGAACGTGCCTGCATGTGGAGGCGGCTTTCTCACAGACATGGTGAGGCGATAGGAGGTCACCCCGGAGAAGGGTGGCCCTAGATCCAAGGACGGGCTTCCTGAGGAGGCGGGGAGAGGACACCCAGGGACTGTGATGCTGCCGGCCAAGGACACCTGGCCACACCCAGGTAGCAGACGCCGCCCCCAGAGTGGCCAGAGAATGAACGCCACTGCCTGGAGCCCCCGTCCCGGTCACTGTGTCCGTGGCTCCAGGACATGGACGCATGGGTCTCAGCTCCCAGGGGAGGCCGCTTGGGGGCCTGAGGGAGGGAGGGCTCCGCCTCCCAGGCAGCCCGGCTCCTGGCAGCAGAAAGAATGGCAGATGCTGCTGGGCTGCTGAGGAACTGGTTCCTCACAGGAAAACAGGCTGTCACCAGCGAGCATCCTCCCGTCCTTCCATCCCTCCCATCTCCCCCCCATCCTCTCGTCCTCCCTCCTCCCATCCTCCCACCCCCCCCCTCTGTGTGCAAGATCTGGGGGACACGCAAACCACGTTCCTGCTGGGTCACCTGACGGCCTGCTGGCTCAGCAGAAGCCCTGGGGCTGCTGGCTGGGCCCTCGGTCACGGCCATGGCCTTTCACACCCTCCGCAGCCTCTGAGTCTCCGGGAGAAAAGAAACAGGCACCCTGGGCCGTGCCATGGACACAGCCCCGGGACAGGGGCACCGGGATGGCAGCTTCCAAGCTACGGACAGGCTTTCCGGTTCTCAG